GTACAACATTGCTGTCCCATTCTCAACAGCAACGACAGCACAGGTGTTACAGAATGCCACTCCCAGTGCCGTCACACAGCAGGCTGGACTGGTCCCTCTTGGAGCCAACATGGCCGCTACACAGCTCAACGCCGCCTCCGTCACATATGTGACAGGCTCTGGAGCTGGTGTTGTGTCTGGTTCAGGAGACGGGCTGGTCACGATACCAGAGGCAGGGATGGTGCCTGGTACAATCAGCTGCATAGGCAATGGAATAGCGACAGCAGCATCAGACAGTAGTATGGGGTCCATCCCAGCATCGAGTATAGTTTCTGCTCAGAGTGGAACGTTGTCAACTGCACTGACATTGCTGACAAGTACTCCTGCTTCTGCCAGCACCGTATCAAAGTCGGGAGTTGTCGCAAACCAGTCCCTGTCTTCTGTTCGTACATACACGCCTATCGCTCCAGCTCCAAGTCTAACCAGAGTGGCTACCAGTCTCACTCAAGTCCCCCCAAGCAGTAGTCAGTTTGTGGTTAACACTAGTGGAGCCAGTAACCAAACTGTTATGATGGACACAGGAGCAAACAACCAAGAGACAAGGGTAGTCATCAGTGAAGTTGAACTATCTGTTGAAAAGGAACCATCCGCCAGCGACGCATCCAAAACACAGAATGAAGAGGCTAAGAAACGCTGCCACGTGTGTGACAAGGTGTTCTGTAGCTCCCAGAGCATGCTCCGGCACCTGAGGGTGCTACATGGAGTGGAGACTGGGCCCTTCCCCTCCAAGTGCGCAGTGCCAGGCTGCAGTGCCAGCTACCGCTGCGTGAGGGAGCTGGTGACTCACTACAGTGCAGTACATCAAGCAAATGTGGAGGTAAATTTGAATCTTTGTTATTGCAGCTCATAGCTAAGGAGACAGGTCCTTTTTTGATTTAAACATTTTGGACATCCGTACAGTAATTTTGCATTAACTTCTGTTCTATGTCACTAGTTAGATGTAACTTCAACTCTCTGCTACCATGTCAATATGTAATTGTTGATTTGCTGGTTCCACATCCCAGGTTGAGGACTTGACGTTTGACTCGGTAGAACAGTTCATGACTTGGAAGCGACAAGAGGAGGCTGTGACAGGAGCCAAGTTCCCCAAGAGCACTGGTTCCAGTAAGAGTAGCAAGGTGAGCTGAGTGAGGCATCACAAATAAACGGAAATCAAACAGACTGAAAAATATATTTTATTGTTTGATGATAATGATATATCCTTGGTTGCATACAATAAACCATTTGGTCCATGGGCAGTGTTGCTTAACCACTAGACTACATTGTATGTGCGGTAGTATGTACTGTCTAGTGGTTAGGAACACTGCCTCTGAACCAAAAGGTTGAGAGTTTGAATCCTGGCTGTTGTTCTTAGGACAGCACCACTGTTTGATTGTGCATATAAAAATGTTAGGGAAATTGATTAATATTGCATGGGTTTTAAAGCATGAACCTGTTACAATTATTGCCGTGCATACTCGGCAAATTGAACAAAACATTTGCTACCTTAAACATTAACACAGTAGTCTCTCGCTAATGACTTTAATGATAGACACCCTGTGACTGTGGGGCATGCACTGGTTGTTAATTATTTCTGGATGTACAATGTATATTGAAGCCCTACAGTGACAATTACCTGTAGGGTGCACTCCCTATGGTATTTGTGATGTCAATTAAGTGGAAGGTAAGGGATCCTGTTTAGGAAGACTAGTGAATTTTCAAATCTTCAAATGAATGAAAGGAAACAGTATCAGTGCTACTAAGCTTTGAACCATTTGATGTCATAACATCCTCCTACAGTGTACGTTGTTTCTATGCAGTTCCTTTTTGTCACTTTCACTTCAAATGCCTTTGCTGATTATGGTCTTATTAGGATTTTCTGTCTCTAACTCTTTTTTAAATATGCAATTTTTTTTGGTAAGGTGAAGCTCCAAACCTCGTAAGATCCCAATTTACAGGCAATAACACCCACAGAATCAGTTGTTTGTAGTTGTCTAATAAAATTAAAGGTAAATGTAATAAAGGTATCCACCAACCATCGCCTAGAGGTGGAAAGGAAGTTGTAAGATCAAAGCTGATACTGATCACTTTGATCCATTATTTGAAGCTTCTAGTACTTAGCAACACTATCAATAGCCTGGAGGAGGGTGTTATACAATGTACTCCTGTTTCTTATTATTAATGTATGCATGTATTTGACATGTGCACCTGAGTCTTAGAGCCTTTCCTCAGGGCCTGCCTGGGATGCGAACCCAGAACCTTTGGATTCTAAGTCAGTTACCACTAAACTTTGCTGACAAACTTTGTGATTTCCCCCAGACGCACCAGTACCTGTACTTCTCCTGCCATAGAAACGGCAGCAGTAAGCCTCATCTCAAGCCAGAGGACCTCGCCAAGCCCAGAAAACGGTGACAGAAAACACTTTCATATCTTTTGATTCATCATGTTACATTGTAGAAGAATTACGTTGTGTCACGTTGCATGATTATTCCTTTGTGTGAAGTGTAGTAAATTCGTTATGCCATGTTGAAAGTAGTTTATTAGTGGTCAAAGGATATTGTAATTGGAAGCAACCTTTCATCTCCATTATTGAGTTATCCTCCCTATGATTTACTTTCGTTTTTATTTTTTGGATTGGAATTTGATACCGGTAGATACCGGTATTCATTTTGTTTTCTACCTCAGTATATGTAGTTATATTTCAGTGTGTTTTTTGCTTGCATGTCTCTATATGAATACAAGAGAATCACGGAAGGAGGGGGAAATGGTGCTTAACCACAGGCTGGGAGGCAGTGAATATGGACAGAATTGCCGAGAAATTCTCAATAATGAATAAAACAAGAAATTCACAACATCTCTAAATACTTCATTGATTTTTTTCATGTAAATTGTAATTCCATGTTTCTCCAGTCGGAAACCGCGCGGATCAGTCAAACTCAACTCTGTCTGTCTGGCGAGGATGTCTGCCAAGATTGCAGCGGATGGGGAAGTCACTGTCAGGTGGGTTATTTCCAATTTTCAGTTTTATATAAAACTAACCCGGCAGAAGTACAAGGTACATGTACTTACATCTGAATTGAGTTTTTACAAACTTACAATTGATTGCAATCTTACATATGGTACTGATGCTCTATAAGTATAACATCTTCTAATAAAACAATACCGTACAGAAAACTGCTGGCACTCTACACATGCCAAGGAAGGGTAAATGTTAAGGGACAGATTTGTTATGATAAAGATGGATGTCTTGAAAATTCTGATATTGTCATTGACCAAACATCCAACAAAAAGCATGAAAAATCAGGGTTTTGCGCAGGCGCAGTACATTCTGCCGACGTGCTTCACATTGCATAGAAACTGAAAACATGAAGAGACTCAAAACATGCAATTTGCATGAATTAATTCAAGGTTGTAGGAAGAAATCTGAGCAAGGTACATTGTACAATTTTCCTGTAAATTGTTTTCAGCCAATCTTTTTCGAATTTCAGCTGGATGATTACAAGGTAAAGTGGACTCAGTTCATTCATTACATGGAGAATTTGCCATTATTTCTATCATCATCGTCAGTCTTATAGCTGATCTGCTGTAGCAAATAGTAATTTGCCATTTCCTGTAAAACTGTAGCTTTTGGCACTCATTATCACATTATTCTTGATCCGAAAATTATAGGTGAGACATAACAGAGTTGAATGTTATGGTAATCATAATGTGGTAACCATAATGCATTCTTCCCATTGCAGGTATGTTATGACTCACACGAACCACACTCTACCCTCCGGTAATGTCCACGCAATCGTGCCGCGCTGTCAAGATGCAACACCAGAGGGACAAACCAATCTGCCAGACAAAGAGGGAGAGACAGCTTCAGTTGTCACAGTGGATGGTAGTTGTTGTTTTTTTCTTATCACACGATACACCTCATTTTCAAGTGTTCTGAGCCAGCTTTGCAATGTCTTTTTGACCAGAAAGAGAAAGGGTTATTTGACTTCAAAGGGGTGTGTAAGTTTGTTAACTTGCTACATGCATCTTTGAGTCGATTTTTTAAAAACTCTGTTTTTCTATCCCAGGTGAAGACATCGGAGTATCAGCAAGGCCCAGCGCACATTCCAACCACAGTACCTCCAACAAGAGGTCTGCCGGCTTGCAAAAACAGATAACTCAAATAAACGAAGACATTGCAAAACTTCAGACTCACCTAAGCTCAGATAAGGTGGACAAAGTGCAGGCCAGTCACATAGAAACGGTTGTGCAGGCTTTACTTGTCCATTGTGGGTTAGAAGAAGATGAGGAAGGGACAGGGAAGAGGAAGAGTGATGTTGGAGATGAGCAGAAGATGAAGAAGATGAAAACGTTACATGTCTGTGAGAAGTGCGGGATGCCTGCAGGTAGAGGTGGGGGGGCTGGGAAGAGAGTCGGCAGAAAGCCAGGACGGAAACCAAAACAGCAGCAAGACAGGAACGACACCTCAGGCGAACAAGGGCAACAGAAAGCGCGGGAGAATCCGTACGCACGGCCCACGTCGTCACAATGCGGCAGTCTTCGTTCCCAGAGGTTTCAGCGACGTAGAAATAAAATGGAGTCAAGAGAGGACACGGGACAGACACAGGACGTGGAAATAGGTGTAGCAAAAGTGGGAGAGCCACAGCAAGAGCCTGCTGAAACAACTGATGGAGAGACAGAAGTTAACAGAGAGAAAAGAGATGAAGAACAGGATGCCACCTCTTCCTCTAACACTGCAGACAGATGTGAGGATAGTCAGCCATCTGAACATCTAGCATCAGCCTTACTTGAGCTGGCCTCACACTCACAACAAGACACTGGACTCTGAGAAACCCCAGAATATATGACAGAAGAAAAATTCACCTGTATAGCTTAATACAAAATAAATAAAACAACAGTTTTATGGCATATTACGTAATATTCTACCTGGATGTGTAACATTTTTTTGGTATGTTGGGTATTATCTCACAACTGTTGTGAAACATTGACAATTTTCATACAAAACTGCTCAATGGTCAGAATATAAAGCACACAGTCCAAAAATGATTGAAATATACTATAGTAAACTGAATGTTGCTGCCAGGTACTGGAGTGTTGTGTCATATTTTCTTTCCCACAGTCAACTGCTGGGAAAAATTAACATTTTCTTGTTAAAATTTACTGTATATGTAACAACGTTTCTTTGTTAGTCGAGCGGCATAGTTAAAATTGTGCAAATTCGTCTAAAAGCACCAAATTTGGCACGCTTGCAGTTAAACCTATTATTCTAAGCAAATCTAAATACATGTATAGAGACATTTCAATTTTTGCCCGTGAGTAATTTTCTATTATTTTTTGGGTATATAGCCAAGAAAATCATTTTCACTTAAAAAGTACAGTATGGCCACGGACTATGTAATGTGGTATGGCTATGTATTAAAAACCACTTTGTGGAAGAACATGTTATGGAATAACAATTTAGCTTTGAGTTTCCCTACTCCTTCGCATTTGGGCTCTGAATCAATTTCCTTGTGTCAAATTACCAGTAGCTAGACTTACCCTGACCTTAGTCTCCAGATAGTCTGGTAAGGTGTGTGAATTTTCACATACTAACAAGTTAGCTTCATACATATTGTTGACCCGTCTAGCATATTCTGTCTCTAATTGCTTACATGAAAGTCACCAGGAAGGTGAGGAGACATTGAAAAGTGCTTGTTAGCACAGCAGAATACTAGTATTACAGACCATTATTGACCTAAGAAAATGTGGGGGACGTCCGTAAGGCATCGTAGAAGGACTTGATTGGCAGAGCTAAAGAACAGGTATATTTTCGTAACGTCTTCTACAACTTGTAATGCATTTTGATATTTGCTGCGGTATGTGGCCCCACTGCATGGATTAACTTCCAAGGATTAGGAGGTTGAAACCCCGATTGGGCACGGTTGTGAGATTGTGAACTTAAATTTCAGGTGTAGGCGTAAAGCCGGCGGCCCCGGGCCGTGAATGTATTGCTAAACCTCTTCATGGAAAAAGCTAAGTAAATTAAACACGCCAGAAGGGAATGAGTAACCTTGCATGGCTGATAATGCGAGCCGCATTGCACACTCGTACTACATGTATATAGGCTTTCCACATTACGCCCACATGCTACACCTGAAATCCACTAACCCAGCATGGTCGCTGGGTATTCAAATCATAATCATTATGGCGTCGATGTAAAAGCCTTTAAAGCCACTGGAAGAAATGATAACGACAACCTTCACCTTACCATAAGCTGCCTGTATTTAGTATTCAAACAGACTAGAAAATAGGTTATAACCTTTTTTTTACATCATTTACATTCCTGTCCTTTTTGGTGGTTTGTTTGGCATACTTTTGGTTCAATATGTCTTGCAACTTGACAATTTTCTTTCCAATTAGCCGGCATTGGCTTTTCAAATACGGGGCGCGATAAACAATAGTGTACGTGGGAAACCGTTTTGGGTTTTCACAGTTCTTTTCAATTTTCAAGAGTTCTCAAAAGCGTTTTGTAAATAACTGGCATCTACTTTACTTTCCCACGTATATCCAGACAAAAGATGACGTCTGTAATTATCACTAATGAGTTTTACATACAATGCATGTGCTCATTACTCGGGTGAGCCGTTGATGACTGCAGGTAGAGCATCACAGTACAATACTTAAGATAAATGTAAAATTCACTTCAAATGAAAGAAAAGTCGACTTGAGAGCCTTCGCTGATGTTTTACACAAGCTGTGCACATCTTGAGATGCGGGGAAATTGACCCTATTCGCCTCATTCGCGCATACAATATGATGCCTCATCTTCACAGGCGTCACCAATTATGCTACGTAACGATTTTCTTCGAACAGGTATATTAAGGGTTTTTTCCACCCGCGAGATGTTGCCCAGGAATATAGGCGCCAGCATGAAGTACTGAAGTACCTGTTTGTCCCTCTTTCCTCAAGTGATGTTACTGAGGCTCCTTTCCCGTACACGCCGATCACTGAACGGCCATTGAACGACCGAAATATAGATGATAGACAGACGGGCAGGCAGACAGACAGGCAGGTAGACAGACAGGTAGATAGCGATAGATAGACAGGTAGGAAATGTGACTTCAACATTAGCGGTACTGTCCAGCGGAAAGAGGTCTGTCAGCTCTGGGTCATCATATTTCAGAAGCCCGGGGATGAAATCTACAAACGTTATTTTTCCTTAGCCTTGGCAACATGTGGTTATATATAGTTTATGACGTAGATCTAATTAGAGGGCTAGATTGAATTACTGACAAAAGGCTCTGATGGTAGAATCTGGCAGGAGGACACATCCACACTCGCGAAGTTGCAACTACAAAATCCCTCGTCAAATTATTTTCCCTATGGCCAGCGTGGAGACTACAAACAACATGTAGATTTTTGGACGTAGGTCAAAATCCAGGGCTCTTTTCATTCCATTCAACTTTTAATTTTTCTCATTTCATTTCTTTCTTTGTGATAATGAAACGTGCATTGCCGGCATTAAGGTAAGATAACGGTCACACGGTATACCTGGTCAGATTTCTCTATACTATATGCCTAGGTCAGCGTAGGATAACTTATGACCTTTCAAAGCTTCTCTTGTTTGAAGCGATGTCTACTTAGTTTGAATTTACGGGATAAACAGTAACTTAAGTGTTTAGCGGTGGTTGGATTTGTCTCGAATTTTGCTTGCGGTGGTCGCCTTCTATCTTTTGTAAGAAAAACGAGAGAGCTCAGTTAGGATAAGTAACTAATACTGTTGGCGTTGCCTGAATTTTTTTAAATTCTATTTTGCATCGCTCACACGTTTCTATCCTGGGAGCAGTTGGTAGAGAAGGTCCAACATCGCTTCAGAGACCTAGTGCGTGGCCTGTACACGAGAATTGGCAGTAAGTCAATTAAATTACTTTGCTGCCAGATGGGCCGAAGAATATTCTGTGTGTAAATGTCAGGGTCGATGTCCAAGAAGTCTGATGTACATTGACCTCTATTTAAACCGTTCGCCAACTATCACAAGGCAAACTTTTAAGTTTGTGAATGTGCAAAAAAAAACCAATGAACGATTCCCCCACTAAACACCCACCGGTTATGAGTGGATCCTCCAATATGAAAATGCAAATACAAAACTTATTGCCAGTATATATAGATTGTTCCTTTACGTTTGAGTCTTACCTCTCTTGCACAGTACTGACGTGCAGCCTCTCTCTGATTGGCTGTAATGTTGACTAGTTATTTGAATGACGGCAAGCCGTTGGTACTTCCATCAGATGGTAACGTATGCCGCAGTCTGTACGGCTGTCACATCGTTAATTGGCACATTGTCGCACCGGCCAGGGCCATGATTTCGGCGTAACAGCCTTAAATTCTAGCTTACATTTGCGTTAACGTTGTTGAGTCCGATGCTGACTGGACCCTAGATTGAGAATAACATTTCAGAAGCATTTGTCTTGGACTTCAGGATATACCTTTAGCTGCTGAGGCAAACGCTTTCCTGCTGCTTGATTTTTATGGTAGAGAATAGCGAAGAAAATACATCCCGGGAGGGATTCGTACCACTGTCGGGCACAGGTTGTTCAGAGGACACGACGTTAGAGCGACCAAGACGCCACAGCACCGGAGCTTCCCAGCTGGGCGCCGGGAACATTTTCATCATGATCCCGGCCAACAACACCACGGACCACCGCGCCTGGAGCCTGGAGCACGGCGTGTCGGCCACTATCATGGGGGTTTACCTCACCATAGTAGGTAAGTGACATTCTGTAATTACATCACGGTGTCTGACACAAAAGATGAACGGGTGTTTCAGATGAGCGTTTTTCATGTTATCATTTATTGCCCTGGTCTTCTGAGAAGTGTGTTGAAAGACAAAGAATTACTCTTAATGTAAGAGATTTTTCTGCCGTAAGTTACCGCACACGCTCAAGCTAGTGTCGATTTCAATGATTTACGTCAGAATGGGTGATAGATACCATACCATATGGATGAAATGAAATTTGTAAAAACAAAAGAATACACGAGCGAGCGAGTGCATAGATTTTTCCCTATGTTGTACAACACTTCATTTTCAGAGATGTGTATACCAGTATTTGTTGGGGAAATTTGAATTAAACGTGCATTCCACTTGTCTAACATAAAATGATGGCTTTGCATGGCCTAATAGCGGTAAAGGCAAATGGAGGTCTTAAATAAAAAGTCAAAGGTTAGGCAAGGGCTTTCTTAAAGCAAAGGCTTTCGTAAAGTTTGGTAGATGTCTTAACGTGAAGTCATTCCACAGTACAGTCGCACGATACAGAAAGGTCGCCGCTGACTACGTTTTATCACAGCCCGCTTGAATAAATTCAAGTTCGTTCAACTCGGCGACATGCGAATAACCGCTGAGAGTTAATACCTGAAGTCCAACTATCGTGAGACATACTAATGAAGTCCAACTCTCGTCGTGAGACATACTGATGAGCCTGTCAGCGATTGTTCCGTTCCATCTCCTATAGCAGGTGTAGCTGTCAGATAATATGCTTAGTAAGGCTTGTGCGTTTGCTGTAGGTAGGCGCCGGGGTACGATCATTTGCACAAGGCAGCAGGCTTAAGTGTTATACTGTAAAGTCTGAGCGCGTCATATCAGGTCATCATCAAATGTCCTAATCTTATACTAAGTGTGTTGAGAGTCATACTCTAAAGTAGTGTAAGCGATTTTTTTTTGGTTTCTGTAGTAAATATCGCACAGTCAATTTAGCGTCGATCAGTGGGCTTATCTTTATTTTAGCTTACCTATGGCCTAATGCCGACATCCCTAATACCAACACCTCTAAAGTCTAAGATAAGGCAAGGACCAATGATACACGTCGCGTAATCGCCGTTCGATCGCAAAATGAAGGCATTCATAGGATAGCCGTGCATGTATCCTGCAAAATTCAGCTGCCTTGATACGGCAGGCTGTCTCAAATCATTGTCAGTGGTTGGTTCTGTCACAGACTGCATGAATTAATTCAAGTCAAGACGTCGAAACCGTACGACTCGGCGACCTGCAACTTCGTAGGTAAGAGCGCCGTGGAATAATCATTGGTAGACGTTCATGTCTGGAGCCGGTCTTACATTTAAATTGGTTCCACACAGTGATTTTACATGAAGTTCACCCATCGTTAGACATACTAACGAGACTATTCAGTGAGTGTTCCGTTCCACTTCGGTTCGCATGAGAACCTTTGCAAATATCTACAGACGCCACGACTACCCATGGTATTTAGTTTGAATCATTGAAACTGTCACATAGAACATATCACCTTTTTCTGACGAAATCAACTACTGTATGTACTCAACTACGTTCCGCATATTTCAACAACATAAGGACGTATGCCCTACATTCTGTTTGTACTTTACCTCAGGACAATGGACAATGGCCAACATCAGAAAACAACATTTTCAATGTACATATACGTCATTCGAGTAGATAAAAAGGGCTACCGCATTCATTATGCATCAAAATGTCTTGATTGTATAAGGATGCACTCAAATACGTTCCGCATTTTTCAAAAACATATCTGCCACACGGCCGAATGACCTACATTTTATTCTTTGCCTCATAACAGTTGCTAATGTTAACAGACAATTCTCAACGTACTTCAAATATGTCATATAGAGTAAAAAAAAGACACATGACGCACGAAAACGCGTGTGATTGTGAAAGGAGGAAGGACTGGTTGGTAGTAATTAGGTCAGACCTACAATGTAGCTCCGTGTAAGGGCTTCCGAGTGGCATAGCATTTGCAACATAATATTGTCATGTGCCAGGAGGCGAGTTACAAATAAGGAGCACGCCAACGCACGCCGCTTGGCGTCGAAGGTGTCGCCGAAAATGCGTTCTAGATCTCTGTCTGGAGTAGCTGCCAGATAGCATAAAGGCCTGCCACGCACTATCGTTTATCAAATCAGCAAACTTTAGCGCTATGTATTTTTTTTTCAAATTCGGATTTAAGAACTGCGATTCATCTCTGCTTTTAGTGAAACCCTGATATTATAGTGATGTTTAACACCAGCAGGGGTTGACTAAAAGTAGGACTGGCTCAGTATCAGTAACTCCAGCGCTATGTTATCGCCTAGGTCTGGTGGCGACCGTCGGTAACGCTACAGTGGTGCTGATGTTTATCCTGAAGTGGAGACAGCTCTGCCGCAAGGCGCCGAACCTGCTCGTCATCAACCTAGCCGCAGCCAACCTCTGCGTAACCATATTTGGGTATCCCTTTTCTGCGTTATCAGGCTACGCCCACCAATGGTTATTCTCTGACGCCATCTGCACGGTAAGAACCACTTGAAAACAATATGAAAGTACTTTGTAGTGTTTCTGTACTCTATGCATAGTTGAACGTTCAGTCAAGGGGTGTGCAGTTCTAAGAAAAAGTCCGGAGCTTTGTGGTCGGTGTTAAGTACAAAAGATAGTTTTTTTTTGTTGTTGTTGTTGGTGTTCAGTATTAGTGATAGGTCACGTTTGCGTGGATAGTGTTCAGTACCAAGGACAGGTCACGTTTGTGTAGCCGAATATCATAATCAATGTCTTGGTGTGCAAAGAAAAGTATTTTGAAAAAGTACAGGAGGAGGGAAGAAGCCAACAGGTCACGTTTTATCACGTACGCCCGTAGCTTTTATGTTCTACATCTAAGTGTGTACCTCTCCTGGAGGAAGCTCAAATCATGTTAAGGGTGGAAATATAATGCCATTAGGCAGAGCTTGAAATGCCTCGTGGCCTGTCACGCAAGCATGTAGCTTTTAAATGTGGAAGTGCATTTCATAATCAACGTCTTGGAGTGCAACTATCCTGTC